ATATACATTTGATTGTCAATAAAATTGAAGTCTGTATCACCCTAAAGGACAATATGGCCATTTTTCAACTAGGGTAATTCTAAGGTACCAAAAAAAAGTACCAAAATTTATTATATTTTAAAATCAAATTGCATTTTTAAATGTGAAGTAAGGCAATTTCATGATCGGTCGGGAAAGCTTACGATCGATCATGAATAATATCCTTTTAACTTTATTTTTAAAATGTGTAATTTAACCTCAAAAAATAATAATTTTATATTTATAATTTATAATTTTTTTCACTTTTTTAATTTAACTTCTACCTGAAAAAAATATATAATTTAACCTCAAAAAATCATAATTTCATGGAGTACTAAAAGGGGTATTTCTCTTTATGATTAAAAAAATAAAGGGAGAATTACACTCAAGTCTTCTAAGATGTGTCATTTAATCATTCAGACCCTTGACATTTGAAATATTACACAAAAATCCTTAAAATTTGTATGCGCGTAACACTTAAGCCCCTACTGTAAATATATCCGTTAATAAACTACACTTAGACCCTCTAAAATTTGTAAGTATATAATACTTAAAATTTTTAAGTTTAAAATATTACACTTAAACAAAAAATACTCAAATCAAAAATAAAATATTATATATTTTAAATTTTACAATCAAAATTCATGTTATATTGTATCATTTATTGAAATAAAATTCAAAATAAAAATTTAATTTTTTCTTAAAAAATCATAATTAGTATACAATTATACTATCTATTGGAATAAAACTAAAAAAATCAAATAAGGGTTTAAGTCATTCATAATAGAGCATGAATTTTAAAATTCATATTCTATTATGTCATTTATTGAAATAAAATCAAAAATAAAAATCTAGTTTTTTTATAAAAAAAAAATCATAGTTAGTATATAATTATACTATCTATTAGAATAAAATTAAAAAAATTAAATAAGTGGTCAAACTGTAATAAACACAACATCTTCTAACTTTAATTGGGGTAGTTTGGTATTTTAATTTGGTTGTTTAAACGACCAAATTAAATTTCAATAGGTAATATAATTGTATATTAATTATGATTTTTTAAGAAAGAATTGAATTTTTATTTTTAATTTTATTTCAATAAATGATATAGTAGAACAAAAATTTTAATTGTAAAATTTAAAATATTTGATATTTTATCTTTGATTGAAGTATTTTTAGTCTAAGTATAATATTTTAAACTTAAAGGATCTAAGTAATATATATTTATAAACTTTAGAGGGTTTAAGTGTAATTTATTAACATATATATTTATAGTAGGGGTCTAAATATTACGGTGTACAAACTTCAAGAAACTTGTGTGTAATATATTCAATGTTAGGGAGTCTGAGTGATTAAGTGACAAATTTTAAGAAGTCTAAATGTAATTCTCCAAAAAAATATATATATTTCTCTTCCAACTAAGAATTTGTCGATTTGTGGGTTTTTTTTTTTTTGATCTGAAAGCAAAATTTTCAATAATAAACCAAATCAAGGTTATAGTCAATATAAATGATACGTCTCAACTTCGTAGGAGGGTTAAAAAATCAGCCTATCGAAAGAGAAAAAGACATTTTCGCTTTGGCCACCCAATGGGATGCCCTGTTAGCTATACGAGGGTTATGTACCAATCTAAGTCTAAGGTTGTTAGAAAATACTATGATATCTTCTACCAAAGATGCAATCTCCTATAGAGGAGCATCCTCACCAGTACATAAAGAGATCAGTACTTGTGAATCACTCACCACAATAGCCTCGAAACTCTATAAAATCGAAAGTTGTAAGCAAGTTTCACGCATGGGCAGTGCTTCTGAGTAAAGGCTGGACACAAAAGGGGACTGCATTGCAAAATCATCAAGGATAGCTCCAGTATGGTCCCTAAAGACCACATCTATTGCAGATTTCTTCATCTTGTCATCAAAAGCTCCATCACAGTTCACTTTTACCAGCCCGTTAGAAGGTCTTAGCCAGCCCATGGTTGGATGGTCCATAGATGGGGAGAGACACTATTGATTCCGGACAGAAAAATGAGAGTTGAACTCTTCCCAATCGAATTGCGCCCCTTTTTAGTGCGACTACTGGATTGGGGAGAGCCAAATAAAAGGTAGCATCATTCCTTATTCTCCATATAGACCACCCAATAAACGCAACCTTACTAAGAACCTACATCGCTTGGTGAAAAGAGTTCAGATTCTCCACTAAATTAGATATCCAAAACTTCACTTAAAACAATATTCTGGTACTCCACTCTTAGGGTCAAGTCCGACCCAAACCAAACTTTATGTGTCCGTTCGTAACCAAATAAAAGATGCTCTGTTGATTCAACCCTACCTTTCGCAAATATGGCAGAGTGGGGAGGAGCTGCATTTCCTTCTGTAGAGATTCAGTTTTGTAGCAAGAGCATTTGAACATACCCTCCACCCAAAATGTCTTACCTTTAGTGTTGTTTTCATGCTCCATATAATGTTCCACAAATTAGGATGCAGCCGTGAAAAGGAACTACTCCCCTAAAGAGCAATAGAAGTCTTCATTCTCCTTGCTTTCTTGTAGCCTGACTTAACTGCATATTGGCCCTTAGCCTCGAAATGCCATATCCTCTTATCTAACACCTTCATTTTTGACACCAGAATGGATGTGATAGCTTGTCATTCTTTTGCAGTGGTAAGCATCCGGAGGGAATTTAAATCCTAACACTTTGTTTCCTGATTAATTACATCCTTAACCAATGTTACAATTCTGGGCTTGGGCAAAATAACCGAGAAACCAGGCAGGGTCGGGATCCATCTATCACTCCAAAATTTAATCTGCTCCCCATTACTTACTTGTCATCTAAGACCTTTGGCCAACAAATCTTTTCCCCTCAAAAGGCTACTCCACATCCAGGACGGTCTTGTTCCTCTTCTAGCCTCCATGAAGTCCGAATTAGGAAAATATATCACCTTCAGAATTCGAGCCCAAAAGGAATTCGGACTTTGTATTAACCTCCAACATTGCCAAACCAAAGCATTGGAAATCTCTGAAACCCATACCCCCCGATACTTTTGGTTAGGTCATGCCATCCCAACACTTCCACAAAATACCGCCAGTCTCCTAATTCTGACCCCACCATAAATGTCGAACACATTGGGTCAATTTATCACACAACTGTGGAAAAATTAAATATGACATAGCAAAAGAATAGCTTGAACAACCAATTTAATAAGCACCTCTTTCCTCGCCTAGGAAAGGTAGACTTCCTTTCAACCTTGAATTTTCTTCATGACCTTTCCAGTAGATAATTGAAGGTTTCGGATTTTGATCTTCCCCACATAGTAGGCAAGCCTAGGTATTTAGTATTGTCTGAGATAGCTTCAATTTCCATCAGCTGGCTCATGAATCTCTTGAGGTCCTCTGGTGAGTTATAAGAAAAGAGGATCACAAACTTGTTGAGGTTAATAAGTTGTCCTGCCACTTCACAATACCTCCATAAAATTAACTTAAATCTAGTCCCATCTTGTTCTTTGGCCCTGAGGAAAAAGAGAGAATCGTCAACAAAAAACAAATAAGATAGTGTGGGGCTTCTCTGACGAATTCTTCAAAGTTTGATTGTCCCATCGAACACCTCTTTCTGGATCATCCTAGAGAGCACATCAACAACAAAAAGAAACAGGGGACAGTGGGTCACCCTGCGGAGACCCCATTGAGAAGTCACCTCGCACCTAGACTCCCCGTTGACGATCACCTCAAATTTGACTGTGCCGACACATTGCATTATGAGATTTATCCATCTTGGAGAAAATTTCAACTTTTGCATGATAGCTTCCAAAAAATTTCATTCAACCCGATTATAGGCTTTGTTAAGTTCCACTTTGATGGGCATGGATGTAGATTTGTGGGGGTTGAGTTGTCTATTTTTTGTGCTCGCCAAGGACAGCTTTCAATTTAACATTTTCTTTTTCCTCTTTTTCCATTACAACAAAAACAAAAAAAAAAAAAAAAAGAAAAAAGAAAAGGATCTGCATCAATTTTTTTAGGATAAATTTCACTAACATCCCTAATAAATAGCCTAATTTCAGGAACACCCTTTATAATTTTTGAAATGTCACTATCACCTCTTATACTTCACATGTCTCTTTCAATTACTTGCCCTACAGTCAATGATCTTATTGACAAAGCCAAAAAGTGAGGACGTCGGTGAATCTTTTCTCTTAAATGACAAATTCACCCTTTAAATATAAAGTTATAAAATATTATTCCTATCTATATAATAAAACAGAAATATATTTGAATTTTGTCTCAGTCATATTTTTCTCCTCAAAACTATCACTAATCACTTACTTCACCCATCATCTCTTTGTCAAACTCAAACGTCAAATCGCATAACTCATTTTTATCACCTATTTAATTATTTATATATTTCTTCCCTAAAAATATCACATCACTCATTTTTATCATATATTTAATCATTTAATATTTGATTAATTTGTAGTTAATGTATTTTTAAAAAAATTAATATAGTGGTATCGATTTTTTAGATGCTCAAATTTTATATTTTATCGTGCCTTCAGGCACGGGTTATAACTATACATAAATATTATTTATTCTCTTTTTGAATAATACTAATTTTAGACACAAACAAGCTTGTTTAGAGAGCAAGAGGTAAGGGATAGCTACTACTCGTCAGGATTTTGAATTTTAACAAAACAGGCACATCATCGTACAAAGTTAACAGATTTGAATGAAATTGCAAAATGGAAACTCATTTAAAACTTTGAAGACTTTAGTTGTTATAATTAAAACTTCTGGGGTCAAATTAAAATACGAGCCAACTTGAAAGGTATAAATTGTAAATTTTCAATATTCATCATTCAGAATGAACAAATTAGATTGCAATACGTGCACGACACTGGTGGACGGCTGAGACCGACACACCGTTCTGTTGTAGAGAGAGAGAGAGACTCTTGTTGACGAAAGTGTGAACTGCTTTCTTGATTCAAGGAATCAAAATGGCGTCTTTGCTTGGGTCTTTCCCGAAACCTCTTTCTTCAGTTTCATTTCCGGTTACGGCTGAGCTATCATCACTGACTATTGGTGTGTGTACTAGCTTTGAGTATTTATTTTCAGTAGCCAAGTCTTGAACATTCTACTTTTAATTGGTTATAGGCATTTGTTTCTGCAAAACCTCTAGGCTTTTGGGGTTTTAGCTTGGTACTTTGTATATGTTTTAATTCTTTTCTGTACTTGTTCACGCAGTCCTGTGTTTTTTGAAAGTTAGATTTCCACTAATTCGTGCTATTTGGGGTCTCTTCATCTGATGCATTTTAATTTTTGTAGGTAGGAATGGTTGGAGGGGAGACAATTTCCGGACGTGTCAATTTCCATGTACAGATTGCCCCTTCTCGTAATCCAATTTTGTTATTACTTTCTGTTCATTCAATATTGATTAATAGAACCTTAAAACTGGCTACAATCTAATTTAATTGTGGTATCATGTACAATCACCAAATATGATGGGACGAATGCGTTATTTTAATTTTCAAGTTATGTTGCGTCTGGGTGTATGAGTTCCACAAAATGTGATGGGTTTCACCACATTTTTTTTATAATTATATTGGGAATAACTGCACGCTCAATATTGTTCTTTTGTAAGATTGCTATTTAGTAATCTTAATTAAAATACGAATGAATTCAAACATTGATTTATACTTCAAGAAATATCGATAACATTATGAAATTTAGGTGCATTGGGCAAACTGCAAAGCCATAAAATGTTTTATCAAACTTAAGCTATATGAAGTATTAGGCATGAAATGTTTGACATTACTTGTGTATGAGATTTAGAACATCAAAAGAACTTCGCCTCTCATATGAAGCAAATAATTTGCACTTTCATGTAACGGTATTTAAATAGTCCTAGCAATTCTCTCAACATTCAGCAATTACAGTAGCATGTTGGAATATTCATGTCTAACTCTTTCAGATGTATGCCATCCCCAAAACATCATTATCTCGGTTGAGGCATCGACATTGTAACGGTTCTTAGCAACAGTATTTCTAACAAGGAGGCCTGTACAATTGGAGATATATTGGATACCTATACTTTGCAGCTACTCCTGAACACTCGTCCAGCATGCCTACCTGGTTGAGTTGCAACTTTGAAATAAAAATTCGGAATATAAATGTAAGACAAAACATAATGAGGATTGCTTGGGCTGTTTCTTTCCAAGAGGCATTGGTAAGATAAAAGTAAGGGTTAATATGGTGTTGTACTGGTAACTGTTCAATAAACCCTGCTTTCTCAGATTAAATCTACATCATTTCCTAGAGACTTGGTATATCAATTAGACTTACAAAGCATGATTGTACTCCTCTAGTATGCCTATTTTATATTTTCAAAAGCATTTGAGTATGCGACACAAATACAACACAGTAGGAGCACTGATATCAAGGTTGTTGGAAAGATGAGGGGAATACAGGAGTAATACAACAGCTAAGAAATGCCGGGTTTTCTTCCTTGCTATCCTTATCCTCCACTGACTGGAATTGCTTGATTTGCCTTGCCAAATTTTCCCTTAAACTCCTTGTTGGTTCAAGTCAGATCCATGAGGAGGTGAATTTGTCTTTGTGAGAGCTCATAAGTTGCAGTCTATTATAAGAGCCATACCGTGAATTGCTTGAAATTCACATGGGTGATATTTCATGGTGTTACTCTTGTAAATGCTTATTAAGCTCTTGTGGGGATATTAAACTGGAGAGTCTAGAGTTTCTTAGCGGTGTTGTGCATCTCAAATATACCTTTTCCCTATGTGCATTCAAACTCGTGGCACTTGCGTGTGTTTTTCCCTGTTGTGAGACGCATTCGAGTGACTTGCTATGTGGCATGGTCCCCAGTGAGTGATGCATGTCTGGTACTTAATGGGGCATTGGATTGTGAAAAAGAAAAGATCCAATTGACATATTGGATGTGTTCTACTTGTCTCTTTTCCTTCTTTTTCCTCGTGTTCTTTGTTGGTGAAGTCTGGGTAGGATTCTGGAAATTGCTGCAGGATAAAGCTACTATATTTATTACAGGTACAGAAAATAAATTCATTGACTGACTTAGTAGTGCATTCTAATAAGCATAGATGCTAATTTTACCAGTGTGCTACCATTGACCATGTGTTGTTCCTATAGTCCACCAGAACTGCACTTAAGCTGTTGTTTCAATCAAATTTTTTGCCTCAATTTTCCGCCAATGTGTCCTCCAGAGTCAACTCTTAACATTCTTATTTGTGTAACTGATAGATTCTCATGTAGCCGTACAAGTTTCACAGTGCAGCACATGGAACACTCAGCACAAACTTTATGCCATGGGAATTCATCAGCAGCATGTGATGCATCGCTTTGGGAATGTTGATGAAAGATGTCCACTATATGGGAAACATAGTAAAACCTATTTGGTACATGCGACCTCTGAACACCCTCTTGAATCAGAACCTGAAGCTTATAATCCTAGGAGCCCTTTGCAATTTGTGCCAGATGCCTTAAATGCTTTCTACAGGTTCTCGCGGCCCCATACAGTTATAGGAACGGTCAGGTTCAATAAAACTATCATTAATCTGATTAAATTTATATAGTGAATTTGACTTGATCTGAGTTTGATATATAGTTAGTTTATTTCTCTGAGCAGGCATTAAGCATCCTTTCAGTCTCTCTCCTTGCAGTTGAGAAGCTCTCTGATTTTTCTCCATTATTTTTTACTGGGTTGATTAAGGTGCTTCAAAAATTTTGATCAGTCAAAATAGTGCAGCTGTAAACTTGGTCGATGTTATTCCTTACTCAGTTAACTATTGGTTTCAGGCCATTGTTGCTGCACTTCTGATGAATATCTATATCGTTGGTTTAAATCAACTGTCCGATATAGAAATAGACAAGGTATCTCATGTATAGGTTTGTGCTTAAGGCATTCTAATAATGCAGATGAGAAAGTAAATAAAAGTTTGAGTGCCTCCTTATAGACTATATGCTTTCCACTAATGAGGCCAAAATAGCTGGAAGGGAACTTTAATTCCTGTCCTAAGACTTATAACTCCATTCTACACTGGAAGTGTCGCATACGGAATGGCTGGGAATCCTAGCTGTCTATTCTTTTAATTTCTTCGCTCTTTAAGACGAGCACATCACATGTGCCTTTGGATATGAGACTATTTGGCATTCACCTTTTGCATGCCATGCCTTCTTAAACCCTATTGACATGCAAATACATATTCATAGACTTTCTATGGATTCTAGGCTTTCTGATGAAAATATGTTTTCATTTAGTTGTCTGTCTCGAAAGTTTGTCATGGCCTATCATTGGCAGTCTAACTGTAAAGTTTTAATGATTTTCAGGTTAACAAGCCTTATCTACCTTTGGCATCAGGGGAATATTCTGTTGCCACTGGAGTCATGATTGTTTCATCTTTTGCCGTCATGGTAATAATTCAAAGAATAAAGAAAATCGACCGAGCAATTTGGATAACCCTTGAATTACATTTTCATTTATGTTGGTATACCTTTGGTGCTTCATATTGCGGGCATAAAGAAATTATTTCCATCTGATTTTAATTTTTATGGTTCACCAGAGTTTGCTGATAAGGGAAAGGATAGCACTGGATATTTGGTCAATATAGTTGATTGAAATATGAATGTTTTCTTGATTGTATTCATTCTAATTCTCTTCCAAGTTCAAATTTTTTCATGTACCATCTTATTTACAAAAATAATACTTTTATAGTGTATGTAACAAAGTATAATAATGAAGTGATAATACTTTGTTTCTTTGCTATCTCCATATGATTATTAATCTTTGCATATTTTTACCTACAGGCTACAGGAAACTATAGTGCTACTATTTCGACTTGTTGCAACCCTGTTTTCACCTTCATGTAGAGTGGTGTGCTACATTCAAATAAATTACAATACTCCAGTTTTGGACAACATAAAAGAAATTGTGTAATCTCATGAAATCTTTGTTAGTCCAAATATATCCTGTTCATTAAAGCCCAAATCTTTGTTAGTACATATTTCAGCTAAAGTCCATCAAAGGAAAGAAATCGTTCTTACCGTGCTCTCTAGGTTCTAAACTCAAGGAAGTAAGTTTGTTTGGTCACTTTTCACTGTGTAATGTGCTTAATATGTAGTGTGTTGTTAATATACCTCATGCTTTCTATTAAACTTTCATTTTATGTGGATTTTCTTTCGTGGTTTAGAAACTTCTGGGCATTGCATTTGTTTCTTGACTAAGAGAGCCAATGATTCTTCTTTGCAGAGTTTTTGGCTTGGATGGATTGTTGGTTCATGGCCATTGTTTTGGGCTCTTTCCATCAGTTTTGTACTCGGAACTGCCTATTCTATCAATGTGAGTTGGTTTCCCAACTGTGTATTTGTTGTTTTCGCTAGCAAAAAGCTTAGCTGGTGCAATTGGATCTATCTTATCCAGCGTAACAGAGGATATAAAACTTTCTCTTGCACTGATTTGTACTTATACTTTTGATTTGATTCCCCCAAAGCTGTCTCAAGATATTTTCAGATGAAATTAGCTGTGATCTGTCCAAGCTTATTATAAATGATAATAAGTTGGTATGCAATTTACTTTATTGATGAATTTGTGAAGTGGATGCAACATAACCAAGCAATATTTTGGAAGATATGTTAGCATTCCTTTCTAAAGTTAGGTTCAAAAAAAGTTCCTCGAGCTTTTATTAGACATAGTGGTATGTCTCTTTGATGTGCAGGATTAGAGATTTGTTCAGTCAAGCGGGGTGGGGATAGGTTTGCTCTTAAGATCAGAAAATAAGAAGGCTGATGACTAGGCCAGGGGTTGTTTATTGCCAATTTTTGGAGGATATTTTTATACTTTATGAGATATTGTGAGGGTTGAGTTGAATTTAACCTTTTTTGTGGGGTTTTCTTGTTTTAGCTTTACTTTTTGGTAGGAAGGATTCCTCATTCTGCATTGAGTTTCTCCCCTTGTCCTCAATGAAAAGCCATATTTTTTTGGTATATATAGGTACATAAAAAATGTTAGTGAACTGGCGTAGAAAGTCTTATTACTTGAACGTCAAAAGTTTGTGAAATAGTCTAATTGCGAATTGAAATTAAATAACCGTTCCTTGACATTATGATATGAGAACTACTCTCAATGCCATCAAAGCACTAAGGCATGATAGGTAAGAAAACTGAGTAGGTCAGGTTAGAGGTGAGAAAAGAGAGGTAGGGAGGGAAGGGAAAGTACAAATAAAGAAATTTGATCATGACAGAGTAAAGATCCTCTGATTTCTTTTTAATTATAAAATGTTATGTTTTCAAAAAATCATAGACAATTCTTGAGAGCCCGGGGGTTATCTCTAAGAGGTTTCTTCTTTGTGGGAAGGGGGAGATACCTATGTAGATGCTTTTTAAGAAGGTGAGATCATTAAGACTGGTTGGTGAGATGAAAACTAAAGTGGTTGTAGTGACAAACTCTATCCTCTTCTTGTTGTGGAGTTATAAGTGCTTGAGAGAAAACTAACATGTTTAAGGTTTCAGATATTTGGGCCGATGTATCAAGGGTTTGAGAGGAAACCTATATCAATTTTGTTCAATGAGGGGCCAACCATAGAAAAACATTAGTGACTAGATTAGAATTAGGGTATGGGGTAAGGTACATTTCACGCAAACCCCTCTAACTAGGTCAAATGACATGACCACCCTTTGACATTTCATAAATTACAAGGTTAGGTGACCCTTATTGACAATAAAATTTTATTGGCGTTAACAGTTTTTGTGAAAATTATTTTTTACCCTCGTCAAACTCGAGTTATTAATGTCCAATTTGAGCTTGTATCCACCTTAAACCAAGATCCTAAAACCTATCCATGACCCAAACCATAACCCAAACCCCAACTAATCGCATTTTCTCCAATCTACACATCATTTTCACCTCTTGCCTTTCCTCTCTAAAAGCCTTCCTCATCTCTATCTCTCAGTCGTTTATGCTCCTCCTCTAACCCATAAGCTTTGACTATGACCTCGACGAGTCACTTCCTTGAATCCTGTCTTTGTTCCTTCTCTGTTAGATCCCTAAAAGTACCCTCTTTTTACTCCCGTGTTTATAAATTCTTTGAATTTAAGGTGAAATTAGTGATAGAAACTAAGGATGGTGAACCATGGTGGATGATGGTGTTGAATAGGTGTTGCTAGTGGCAAAACTGGTGTTGCGTGACTTCATATAATGGTGAAGCATGATGTTCGGTGGCATTGGATGGGTGGTGCTAGTGGCAAATCTAGTGGTGGCCCACATCGTGCTAGGTAGGTGGTGGTGGTGAAAGAGTGAAGGAAAAGAGAGAAAGGTGATGGTGGCATGAGACATTATTTTAGCAAGAGAAATTTGATAAAATAATGTTATTAATTAGGTTTATTCTTAATTGAGTAGCAAAATTAATTATTTGATTTTAATTAGGCAATGGTGGGCTCTGCGTAGTGGTAAGGTTGCTCCATTGTAACTTAGCCATCAAGGGTTTGAGTTGCAAAAGTAGCCTATCCGTATGTTGGAGTAAAACTGAGTACATTTGACATTCCCAGGACTTCGAAGTGGCTGGAGCCTTGTGCATTTGGGTTGTTTTTTTATTATTTTAATTTGGACAAAAATTAGGTTAATTAATGGAATTGACTGGATTTGATTTCTAGTTTGCTAAAATTTCCTTAATTAATGGAATTAATAAGATTTAATCTTATTTTAGAAACAAAATAAGCGTAACTAATTTAATGGATTAGATTTGAGTTGAAATTAGTGAAAATTTAGCTTAGTTGATGGAGTTAATTAGATTAATTGATTAGCTTACTTTAATTAATAGAGTTGATTAAACTAGTTGGCTTCTTTAATTAATTTTTTAGTGGAGTATTTGAGAACCGAGAAGGGCAAAATGGTCTTCTAATAGTTGTTTAGGTCAAAGAAGGACAATTTTAGAAATATGATTTTTTGATACCTTTCGTTAGGGTCTATAAAGTTTGTTAGATGGAATGGGGTTTGTATGTTGTAGCTCTACGATCTTCAGGGGTGACTCATCTTATTTGACCTAAGGCCAAGGGGGGCGTGTGAAATTTACTCAAAAAAGTCATTTAAACCATTTGGATTGGTGAGCATGATGGTTTAAGAGGGAATGAACAACATTGTGAGGGGCCATTGCTTAGTTCAATGGAAAAGTGATTGGACTGTTGAGCATAAGGATGTAGATTTTAGTTTGAAAGGATAAGGCCTTGCGTATTCCACAATGTTTCCGTATAGAGTGGGTCTAATAGAGGTAAGGGGTAGAAAGTGTTATTCCCATTTGTGGAGATGTTGAGTGAGTATTGTATCCAAGTTGAAATATCGAAGTCATATTTTTCGGGTTTAGAAAAAAGGAAGAAAAGAAAAAGAGAGGAGTGTGGAAAAGGTTTACTTCTCATTCCCACACTTAGTATCAAGAATATTTAAAATTACAAGAATGGCCATCTTTTTAATTTCAATATATTCTAACAGTACCTTCCTTATTTTTTTTCCCTTATATTAGGCTACCTCAATGCCAAGAAAATATGGAAGAAGTTCTTAGCATTTGGTGTGAACTGCATTCCCAAAATGGGTCGTAAAGTGGGCAACACCGATTGAATCATTGCCATTGATTATAATATCATCGACATGGACAATGTGAACAATGATAGCTGTGGAGGATCAATTTGTAAACACAAAGTGATCCGACTTAAAGCGCTGAAAGTTATACTGAAGTACGACTATATTAAATTTATCAAACCAAATACGCGGTGATTGCTTCTGGCCATGTAAAGCTTTCTTCAGTCGACATACTAAGTGTTCCTTCCCAAAAACAACATTTGTCATTGGCTAAACCATGTGTACTTTCTTTTGTAGATTCCCATGTAAAAAAGCATTATCTATATTTAGTTGATATAAATGCTAACCTAAATTCACTGCAACGAAAAATAGAATTTTAACAGAGTTAAGACGAGCTACGGGAGAAAAGGTCTAAATAATCAATACGATTACTTTACAACATAGACCCAACGATGACTAGCATGCTGCTTATCAAAAAACAGTGGAATGAGGTCCTATGTATGATTCTTATGATAACTTTCATTTTTTCATCCATAGCCAACTTCCATCTAAGAGATATCCATGACTGTTTTGAAAGAGCTAGTACAACTTTGAGTACCTTTCCATAATGTAATTGGTAGATCAAGAGGCAATGGAGTAGCGGACGACTCAAGAGGCAGGACCTCAGTAGAAGCAAGTGTTGGGGGTAGCTCCAAGGCACCACCTCCCAATCCTTGGAGTGGTGACAATCTTGAAGTAGAGGAGCAGACATTAGTGGAGGGGAATGTACAAATTCGGGAATATAGGCAATAGAACCCCCCCCCCCCTCCCTTGACTAGGAGACACGGACTTGGTATCAAGATTTTGACCTGACACAGAAAAGAAGGGAGACGAGTCAAAGAAGGTAATGCTGGCCCTGATACAATTTTGACATCCCCTACTCCTTTTCTTTTCCCTCTTCCATTGTTAAAAGTATATTAAGACTTTTAGCATGTCAAAAATGGTTTTGGAATCCCCATTAAATTATATAGTAGGTTGACGCATCTTAGTGTTAATTCAAATGACTGAAACTAGCACAGAATGCAGTTAAGGTATCTGGTGGTGGCATTCTTACTGTTCGTTACTTGGTGACCAATGGTTGTGTGTGTGGGTGTTCCTTAAGTTCATTGCGGTGTAGCTTGGTTGACTGAGATTGTTTGGATTGTGCAGTGGTTTGTCGGCTTTGATACTACTTGTGGGAATAATCGTAGCGATTTGGCCAGTACGAATGACAAGAAAATATATGGAACGAAATAAATCAAAGCACAACACAACAAAACACCCAAGGACAAATCAAGCATTATATGCATCCCAATTAAACAAGAAATCGGCTGCCTCTCTGTCCAATCAGATTATGTATTGAAGTTTGAGGCATTCGCTGACAGCAATAATCAGAAATTTTGGTATTTTTTTTCTCATTGCATTCTTAAGAACAAAAAGCTGGAATTCCGGAGTACTTGAGGTTTCCAAAAATTTTAAATCCTTATTCACTAACTATTACAATTTCGTTTTTAGTGCATACTTGAGACCATTTCATTAATAATACATCTCCAATAATCTTGATCAATATCCTTTTATGGACTAATAGGAGACATATGATTAGGTCTCTCAAGGAATTCTTGTTCCTCTCCATCTCTGTCGGTGTGTCTAATGGTGCGTTTTTTTTCTTTACTCTTACAACATGAATGTCTATGGATCACAGTGATCTGTTCATCACAGAAGTTTGATAAGATCACATATTACATTTTCTTCAGCAAGTTAGTTCTGGGTGGAAGGTGATCCTTTGTGGTTAAGTTTTAGTCAGAGGTCAAATGGGCCAGTAGGTGTGATTTTTTTAGGTTATGCTATATCATAGAGATCCCTTTTTAACTCGATTTTTTAAGATCTTGTCTACTGTTTCAGCTACCATTGTTGAGATGGAAGAGATTTGCTTTCGTTGCAGCAATGTGCATCCTGGCTGTTCGAGCAGTAATCGTTCAAATTGCATTTTATCTCCACATGCAGGTTTCCTACCTTCTCCTGACTAAAAATGTGTTATTTTATGTGCATTATCTTATGAATGCATGGTTCGTATGACATCTTCAAAAGATTTGTCACTATGAGCCCTGGTGACTACATAACTAGGAGACTGACTGCATGTTAATTCTCGTTTGGTGACCTCAAAGTAAGTTGAATTTTTATGGGGTGCATGACACGGTATATGATATGCTTGTACCTAGCTTTTTTAATGTCCTTGTTGCTTAGATTCTTGCAGTTGTAGTGTTTTGGGTTTTTGAAGTGCAGCTACAAGAAGAAGATGCGATGGAGGAAAAAACATAAAGATTCTTGTTTTCCATATCTCTAGTAGAACTGTTTTTACTTCATGCTCATTGTCTGACTACTAATGTACTTTATAATGGTCCCAGACCTTTGTTTATGGGAGATCGGCCGTCTTTTCAAAGCCTGTGATTTTCGCAACTGCATTCATGAGCTTCTTCTCAGTTGTCATAGCATTATTTAAGGTAAACTGTCTTGCTTATATTTTTATTTCATTTTAATATGTCGGCATCCAACTGGTCATGTACATGTGAGGTGCTGCCTGGATAGTACATGTATTGATATTCACAGAAAGGGAGGCCATAAATTGTTGAATTGACAAATGTATTGAGTGTTTCAGCTGAGTATTGGTGGTGCTGATAGAACACAATCAAAAAGTAGCACTGCATAAATATAGAAAAGAACGGTTTACTTAAAGGAAACCCTAGCTTCCAATTAGGCTTAATTTGAGGAAACCCTAACCTCCAGGTGTCTACACAATGTTTTTAATTCCTTTTCAGTTTTACAATCAGTAACAACTTATATAACTACAGCATTATTGCCTGTTGCCATAATTTAGCCTACATTAATTGCAGCTATGACCCTCCTGGAAGAAAATCCTGGCTCCACCACTGTTACCATTTAACCTCAGGAGTATTTGTCATCTGTTGTTTCTTTGAAAGAGAAATTGTAACTAGTAATTCAAACATCAAGGACTCTTTGTAGAAACAACCATAATTGATTGTTTCTATGTCATTGTATTTTTTATTTGTTCTGCATAGCATCTTTTCTAGAAATAACCACGATTGGTTTTTAGCTATATTGTGCAAGAAATTTCTTTAGATGGCGCAATGGATTTCACTGAGGTAAACTTTGGTTTATCCTTAATGTCAAGAAAAATCTTTGATCAATTGATCAATCTCGGCTGCAAGATGAGTTTCACACTGGTTGCTAGTATGCGTTGCTTGTGCAAATTTTGCCTCATTTTTCTAGTCGTTGATGGTTTTTTCCCTTCAAAATAATCACATCTTCTGTTATGGGTCTAGTTGAGTTGCAAATTCATGCAAAGAAATCTAAGTGCCCTGCGGAAATCTGTTTTAGATTGGTGATTTGTGATCCATATGTTGTAACCATGCACCTTTGGGCAGTGCTCTGATACCAACTAGACTATTCTATCAGAAGGGTTGCCTTGATTTAAACAGAATTGGCTTAGTACAACAAATTTTATCCTTATTAGTTGTAACTTAAGTAGCTGCAGCATTAATGAGTATCCCTACAATTCAGCCTCGAAACTTGCAGTAAATTCCTTGGTTGCATGAAATCCAATGACATTTCCGACAATCCAACCCTAGTTTTAGCAAGAAATTTCAATTTGTTCAGCAAATTAGCTACTTTATTATTGGAGAATTGCTCCCCTTTGGCAACATGACTCGAAGATATGCTTATGCAGCTACACTTGTCTTGATAGCTTAGGTACTATGCCCCTATGTTTTCTTATTGTTGGAGTCTCAGTTTCTCCATAACAAGATGCTTATCGAGTTTTGTAGACTGTCTGAACAATGAGGCTCTAATCTCAAGTGGTTATTCCTCAAAACCTAATGATAAAAAATTATCAATGGATATGGATTATCAGCGTAGATATTGCAAACATGATGCATTTTATTTCTCTCTCTCTCTCTTTTCTTTTTTTTTTATTTTTTTTGGATTATTCCTGATTTGGAATATTCTACATATTTCATATTTACTCTTAACTTTTAAATGAATGTTTGCTGTAGGACATACCTGATATTGTTGGAGACAGGATATATGGCATTCAATCTTTTACTGTCAGATTAGGTCAAGAATGGGTTAGCTATTAATATATACTAATGTCAGATTTCTTACTACTTTATAATTGATTCATTTGGCTAAGCCAAATTCTTCTTTGGCAGGTGTTTTGGATCTGTATATCGCTGCTTGAAATGGCTTATGCTGTTGCCTTGTTTGTCGGAGCTGCAACTTCCTGCATTTGGAGCAAATACGTCACGGTAGCACATTCTCACTTAAAGTTATTTGAAGTGCGAACATTGATTCCCTTTGATTCTTTTGAAAGGCTCAGATTCTCTTCCATCTACAAAGTTAAAGCATGTTAGAGGGCTAATTATCTCAGCCCAGAATAAACTTTGGACTACTAGCTCAGGATGATGCATTCTTTTTTTGCATTTGTAGGTTTTGGGTCATGCCCTGTTGGCTTCAATACTTTGGAACCGTGCAAAATCTGTTGATCTGAAGAACAAAGCTGCAATAACCTCCTTTTACATGTTTATATGGAAGGTAAGAACTCATCCACGCTGATAGAATGCGAATACTGCTAGAAGTCTTTAAATCTATCCGCATAATGCATGCTAATTGATCCAATGCCAGGAAAGTTTGTCCTTATTGTCGTGGTCTAAAATATACTTGTTTAAAATAACCATATAGCCACTTCCACTTCACTTGCACTAGAAAAGTATTCATTGTGTAACAGGAACTCTTAAAAGTCTATTTCAAGTTCTGTTGTCACAATGATTGATGCTTCTAAACACTAATACATCTGCTAATTTGCTGCACCTTTATGTAATTGTTTTCGGCATCTCATGCTTGTGCTGGACATGGCATTTGTAGGAGCTGACAATGCTTAAATGTAATTCAAATGGTATGGATTTGTCACAAGCAACCAGTTCTTCTTAGTTACACTTATATTATACACCGTTTAATAGCATTTTATGCATCTATAACACCTCTTTATAGAAGCATGTTGTTAAAAATAACTGGACGGTTGGCCCTTTCTGTTCAACCTGACCCAAACCTTTCTTAGAAACTCCCGATAGTATTTCAGTCAAAATTGTCGTTACCTAGACACAGAAGGATCAATCACTGAATTCTATGGATGCCGTAAAATTATTGATTTTGTTCTTGGTAGGCTTTATTTAAATTGTACTCAATTCATTTTTGGCATCTCCTTCCCTCTTGCAGCTCTTTTATGCCGAGTACTTGCTCATACCACTTGTGAGGTGAATATGAAGATGTTTAAAGAGGACAGATTTTGACTGGTCCATGTGAGGGTTTAATTGCCCAAAACATTGGATTCGTTGAAACAAGAAGGCTCCATAATTGTGTTGGATAATGTTTTCATGGTTGAAGCACAAATGGTAGGGATTGATACTTAAATCAATGAAAAATTATTATTATTATTCTGTTTAATTTGTACCAGCCCTTAAACCAGCAGATTGGTCTTTGCTGATTGAAGAGTACATTACTTGATTCTTTAGGTCTTGACCACATAGAGATGGTCCCTTACCAATTGGGGACAATCGTTCTTCTTAGGTCCCTTACCGGGTTACTTGAGATAGTTGTGAGTGAAAAAAGGATACAAACTAAGTATAGAGGCCCGTATATATAGCCAATGAAAGTTACAATAAGGACAAAAAGGTAAAAAGAGAAAACTTAATAAGTTCTAATAAACTAGGCTACTGTTATATCTTCAACGCTCTCCCTCAAGTTAGGCAAAAAAATATCAACTAAGTCAAGTTTGACAACAGAATCCTGAAGAATGAATAGAGTAACAGGTTTGGTAAAAACATCTGCAACTTGATCACTGGTCCTCACAAACGATGGACTAACAATATCACTGTTAATCTTCTCCCGAAGAAAGTGAACATCGATCTCTATATGTTTCGTCCTCTCGTGTAATACAGAGTCAGAAGCAAGCTGAATAGCAGATCGATTATCACAATATAATGTAGATGAAGAAGTCACTGAAAATTCTAACTCGCCAAGAATCGATCGTAGTCAAATAATCTCACATGTGCCAAATGCCAGTGCCCGATACTCTACCTCTGCTAACGAGTGAGAGACAATTGACTGTTTCTTGCTCTTGCAAGAGATAAGATGAGTCCCTCGAAAAGCACAGAAGCCTATAGTAGATCGACTGTCATATGCTACCCCATAATCTGAATCTGAATAACAGGCTAGAGAACCAGTCTGAGATCCTGATGCATAGAACAACCCAAGTCCGGGACAAGACTTGAGGTACCAAAGAATATGATAAACTGCATCAAGATGAGACTGACATGGTCTGTGCATGAACTGACTAACTCGACTGACAGCGAATGAAATGTCTGGCCTAATATTGGCTAGATAGATAAGTCTATCTACCAACCTCTGATAGACAAACAGATCTCTCAACTCCTCACCTTCAGCAGTAAGCTTCAGGTTTGGAATCATGGACGATAATGCCGGTTTGCACCCCAGCATCCCAGTGTCTGAGAGAAGATCTAGAACATACTTTCTCTGATAAAAAATAATACCTCTGTTGCTACGAGTAACCTCAATCCCAAGAAAATATCGTAAAAATTCAAGGTCCTTTATATCGAAGGCCTTCCCATGGTCTACCTTGACCTGCGCAGTCCCAGAAACATCATCTCCAGTAATAATAATATCATCAACATATACCAAAAGGATGACACACTGTCCAGACATATTCCGTCGAATGAAGCAGGTATGATTATAATGACATCTAGTGAACCCTAAATGTACAATTACATCACTAAAGCGAGAGAATCACGCTCGTGGTGACTGTTTCAGTCCATAAAGAGACTTACGCAGTCGATATACCTTTCTAGCATACTCCCCTCACCACGAAAGCCAGATGGTGCATCCATATAAATAATCTCGTCTAGATCAACGTGAAGAAACGCATTATTCACATCCAACTGATGAAGAGGCCAAAAGTACTCCGCAATTAGAAAAATAATCAGTCGAACAGTAGTTAATTTTGCCAGGGGGGCAAAGGTAGCACCAAAATCACGACCTGGTACTTGAGTAAAGCCTTTCGTCACAAGCCTAGCCTTGTAACGATCAATAGTACCATCCGCAAGAAATTTCAGGGTGTAAACCCAGCGACAGCCAACAGGCTTCACCCCTGAAGGTAAAGAGACAAGATCCCACGTGTGATTACACTGAAGAGCGTCCATCTATGTTTGCATGGCAAGAACCCACTAGGGTTCCTGCATAGCCTCTGAAACAGAGCGAGGAACCGGCGTATCTAATAAGGTCATACTATAAACTCGAAATGAAGGAGATAGATCACCATAAGAAACATAAGTAGAGATCGAGTAGAAAATCTTGGCAGTCCAACCATAACGAACAACTGGACGACGATCACACCGCGAATAACGACGCTCTAAATCATCATCCTTCACTGACAATGTCTCATCAGGTAAAACAACTGGCTCGATTCCTACAATCTCATCAGTACTAACAACAAATGCATCAATATGCTCAACAAACTGAGAAATATTACCTGCATCGCCTAAGGTAGATGGGACATGAGCAAGGGGATGAGAGCGAGGGCGACGAATATAAACCTGCAAAGGAAGAGAGGCCGGTGACTCTGTACCAGGGATGAGTGGCTCTGGAGGAGAAGAGACCGATGACTCTGTAGTGATAGTGACCAATGGCTTTGGCTCCAAGGTTAATGGAAAATCAAAGGAAGTATCATCAACTGGAGGGGTAGACACAAGACTGGAAGAAAAATAAGGAATATGCTCAAAAAAGATAACATCTAGACTGTGATACATACGGCGCCTAATAGGATCATAACATTGATACCCTTTAGACTGATTGCAATAGCCCACAAAGATACAACAAATTGTTTTATCATCAAGCTTATGACGAGTAGGAGACTGATCCTGAACAAAACATGTGCATCCAAAAACATGAGGGGGGACCGGAAAAAGTGTTCGCTCAGGAAATAAAACGTGTAAGGGAGCCCTATGCTGAAGAACACGACTAGGTGTACGATTGAACAGAAAGATAGAAATCAAAATAGCAAAATGCCAATAAGATTTTGGCACCCCCATGCCTCTAAGCATACAACGTACCATCCCTATCAGACTCCTGTTTTTCCTATCAACAACGTCATTTTGCTTAGGAGTATATGAACAAGTGAGTTGATGAAGGATACCTTGAGAAGAAAGGTGAGATACTAAAGTATCAGACACATATTCTTTGGCATTATCTGAACGAAGAACACAAACAATGACATCGAATTGTGTCTTAATCATCTGTAGAAACTGAGTGATTATAGGGAGTATATCGAACTTCTTATGCAAAAGGTAGACCCAAGTACAACAGGTGTGGTCATCTATAAATGTCATATAGTATCGGGCACCTGATAGAGCAGTAATAAGAGAGGGTCCCCAAATATCAGAGTGTATTAGGTCAAATGACTTGGGTGACTAGTGCATGCAAGGAATATAACTGGTCCTAACATGTCTTGATAGAGAATATATAACACAGTCAAGTTTACCACCAACACGAGCATTGTTCAAAGCAGGAAACAACATACATAAATATTTAAAATTTGTATGTCCAAAACGGTTTTGCCACAACTGAACAGTTTGTGACGAAAAATCATAATGAAAATTACTAGGTAAAATACTAGCATGCAAGCTAGGAACAGATAAAGATAAAGCAGGTGTAGGTGATGTAGGTGGAGGAACTAGTGAAACTGGAGGCGGATCGCCTAGAAAATACAGTTCATCTCTCTCATGTCCCCTGATAATAATCCTTCTGGTACTAAGGTCCTGCAAATAACATGAATCAGATAAGAACACAACCGCACAGTAAAATTTTTGGCTAACTGATGTACAGATAATAGATTCATGGCCAACTTTGGCGCATGAAAAATCGAACGTAATGTAAAGCCATCTAGGAGGCGAATTGTACCTCTACTAACAATAGGGGCATGTGTCGCATCTGCTAACTGAACCTGTGTATGTAACTGTTCGTCAAAAGTGGTGAAGTGATGAGTCTCACCTGTCATGTGACTACTCGCACCCGAGTCCAGCATCCAAAGGGGAGACGGACTGACACAAGCATGAACGGCACGAAGTATACCTATAGTGGTGGCTGTAGTAGTAGTCGGACTCTTAGCAATAGCAGCAGTACAACCACGAGAAGACGGCTTAAGCTCTGGATGGAGTTTCTAACAAGCAGCCCTGGGATGTCCTAGTCGACCACAATAATCACACTGACAAGAATCCCCCTGTCTGCGCTGATCTTGGGCACCCTGACGGCGCAGGTCCGAGCGCTGCCCACCCCTGACTGAGGATCCTGAACGAGACCCTACAGCTGCTGCAAGGGTCATATGATCAGCTGGAGGAATCAAGGCCGCAACTGGAAGTGATGCAATACGGACGCGGTGTTCATGCTTCTCAATCATCGCATACACCTCATAAAGAGAAGGAAGCGTCAACATCGATAAGATTTGGAAACGAGGTCCCTCAAACTCATCACGAAGTCCCATAAGGAACTTGTGAATCCTATCCTCTTGCTCTCGAGTATGCAAGAATGCTGCTCCCTCGGGCTCTATCCTCGGAATAGCAGCGAGAAGACGTAGAGTCTCATACTCAAGCCAGCGCTGAGTCAAATAACCATAATAATCATGAACAGTCATATCTCTCTGCCGAGCATATGAGAGCTCCTGAGAAAGCTCATAAACACGAACTCCCCGTCTTGACTAGGAATACATCTCTGATAATCAGCTCTATACTTTCGGAACAGAGCTATAAAACTGATGTATCATGCAAACAGATGGCTCCATTGAGCCAAATAACCATCCAAGAATTGTGCAATTCTTAGAGAACCACGCAGAATATCTAGGGTCGCATCAGCTGGCTTTGGGTGAGATCCCGTCAGCCAACCAAGCTTCCCTACACGGCCCAAGAAAAGCTGGAATGAACGTGACCACTCAACAAAGTTACGACCATTCAACAACTGTGCCGTAACCTTTTAAGAGATCATTCCCGGCATTGCCGATAAAGCAACTGTGCCAGTAGGTACTGTGTACTGGTCAAACATAAAAATAGGAGAAGTAGGCTGTACATGCTCGGTAGAAGTACTAATAGAAGCCTCAACAGTAGAGGCCTCAACGGTAGGAGTCTCTTGTCCCTCAGTAGTAGCCATGTCAACAATAATACGTGGGCACCCGTGACAGGAAAAAATAACTCTAAGATAAATAGAGGGATAAAATAAGAGAGAATAATATACTTCAAGTCGAACAATAGCGACAAATAAAAAAAGTTCAGAAAGCTCCCAATAATCAAGTCATGGTGCCCATAAATTCAGAAAATATATAAGTGATCTACTTCATCAAAAGTAGATCAAAGGAGAAGAGGATCTGATGCCTCCTCAAAAAGGCCTAGATATCGCGACTCTAGAAAAAAAAGGTGGCACAACACTGTGACAAAAAGATAAACGTGACCCGATTGCGGATTAATGAGTGGGCTGGTTTGGGGCTAGTCTGGGTTTGGTTTGGCTGGACTGAGTAGTGGGCTGTGGACTTGGGACTGGGCAGTGGGCTGCTTGGTATGTTTGTGTTAGGTCGGTGAATTTAGGTGGGCTGGGTTGTGGGTTATGAGTTATATTGATCCAAGGATAGTCAGTGCTAGGGTGGTTTGTCGGTGCTGGTTTTGTGGGCTGTCGGTGGGTATATGTTTGCTGGGAGTTAAAAGTTTAATGGTGTCGGTGTGGGCAGAGGTATATGGTGTCGGTGGGCAGTGAGCTGCTTGGTGTGGGCTGGTTTGTCGTTTAGAATGTGGCAGTCGGTTAGAATGGGGGTGGTTTGTCGGTGGTGGGCTATTGACCGGGATTTTGGTTTGTAGCTGTTGTCGCTGGTTCGCTGCCGCTGCTGAAGGTGAGGGCTGATTTTGGTGGTGATTGATGATGAGGGCTGCCGGTGAGGGTGACGAAGAAGGTTAGGGTTAAGGTATGACTCTGATACCAACTTGAGATAGTTGTGAGTGAAAAAGGGATACAAACTAAGTATATAGTCAATGAAAGTTACAATGAGGATAATAAGGATAAAAAAGTAAAAAAAAAAAATTTAATAAGCACTAATAAACTAGGCTAGTGTTATATCTTCAACACGATTGGTAATGGTACAACCAGAAGAGGGTTAAAGGGTAGACAAGGTTCCGTGCAGGGTAGCACAGAGTTTCAGTTTCAGGGAGGTGTCCTTGGTACAAACCAACCCAAAATGAAGCAAATAAAAAGAATTGAAAATTTGCTATTTTTTTTTGGTAGAAAAAGTTGGGTAACATTAATATGGCTCAGTTCAATTAACACTCGCACAGACAAACGAGTGCCTCCATCAGTAACGTTGCGTCTTACTCTTTCCAAGATATAAAATGTATTGTATTGGGAGATGTAGTTTGGAATTAGAGTGACAAAATTGGTTAGGTTAACACTTGTATATCAACCATTCCGAGTTGAGTTCAATTTTAAAGCTCGTTTGATAACACAGTTGAGCTTGGGTAATGAATTGTTGCTGCTGAACTTGATCTTTGATTACAGTCTAAACTCGATTTCATTCTTGAACCCATTACAAACATTTCTCACAAGCGAACAAGCTAATAAGTGATGGACTCGATTTGGTTCATTTGCACCTCTATTGGGAATGATTAAGGCCAGTTTATGGCTGGTTTTTCATAGACAGAGGCTCTTGCAGCTAGATCAACTATAGATTTTTCTTGAAGTTGGCGCGGGTTGAGCTATCTACACAGTAGAAATTTTCCTCCCCCGAGGGTAGATATAATTTAGGGGGTTTTCAGCCAAAAAAAAATAAAAAATACTTGTAATATTTAATTCATAATAAGAAACAAACACAATGTCTTGATAAAACATTCGTTGACTTGTGTGCTACCATTTAATGTACCAAAATGTTTCACCTAGTAGAAGGCGTCCATGCTAGTAACAAAATCTTCTTCTAAAGACTAGAAAATAACGTGAAAAAAAACTAAACTTTTGGGACTCTTCTCCTTCATTATTCCTCTTCTTAACTAGCTTCAATCTCTTCGGGTACGTCATGACCAATGTGAAAATCACAGAGGGAAGGAAGGGGGTGGGGGAACTCGAAAGAAAAAAAATTATAAAAAAATAATTACAAAGTAGAAGAATAGAGGGAATGAGAGGGTAAAATGGGATGGTAATGGTATTTCCCAAACAGCAACTCTCTCTCTCCCCTATCTTTGGTCACTTTCAGGAGAATTTGCCCTCCTAACAAATCGCCCCTGCAACACCGCAGACAAACAGTGTTGTTGCATAATCTACCTGGTAGAATAATAAGCACTTTTGAAGTAATCATAGAAACTTAACTTTGGTAGTAGGCCCCATTTCTCTTTAGTATTATCAAAGTAATTAGCTTAAAAAAGAAGGGGCCCCGGCGGGGGGGTGGGGGAGGCATACCTTCACTCTAGGCCGTTGATCAGCGTTGACTTTTCTGACCTGGTACCTGATCTTCTTAGAAAAAAGGCGTGTACGTCTCTTTTCTTTATAGCGCATCACGCTAGCTTCTCTCACACCTCCACTTTCCGAGAAGAGGTCTATCTGAGCCAGCCTGGCCTGCCCAAAAATAACAATAAAGGCAATGATTCAGTACTCCCAACACCACAATAATACACAATCTCAATCATCCCCATAAAAATAAGCAACAAGAACAACCCAATTCTGGCTTCGTTCATTTTTTTTTATTGATTTTCTAAAAAATATCATGCAAAGTTTTAAAATAGTAAAAAATTGGAGTTTATTTTTTAATCTAAGGGCCCAAATAAAATAATCATGTAGTAAATATAATAATAAAATAAATTGAATAAATAATACTAAACATTACTTTTTTGACTTCAAATAAAAATAGAGAATTAGGAATGATTATAAAACCGTTTTTAAGTCATTGGACACACTAAACAACGAATGAGGTCAGACCATAAGAACCATTGGATAGTGTCGTATTAAGCCAACTACCGAACTCATTCCGGTGGAGTGACATAAGCCTAAGTAAATTTAATACTAGCCAACCAAAATGTTATACATATTGATGCGCGTATACTAAATACGTGCATATTGAGGTACATACATTGAGAGTTTATCCAAGTTAAATACGTATATGTATACGTTCCTTAGTCACCCAAAAACTAAATTATTATACAAGAAATAAAAAGATTGCATGGGTATAAAAATTCACAGAGAAAAAAGAAAGTTAAAATAAAAGCAAACCAACTTTTTAAAATGCAACTTTCCCTAAAATGTGGCTGAGTGACGCACACACAAACACACACTTTCTCACCAGGCCTAAACTTAACTACCCCTTTTAACTGTAATAACAGAAACCAAGTTCAATTTCTCTTGGATTTAGAGTTCCTGGCGGGAGCTGAGAAACGTACATGGAGATCATTTCCCGGAACGGAACTTCATCGGAAAATGGAAGCTTACTATCCGACCAGGCGGTCAAAACGTCGTCGTAGTTCAATTTTAGGAGCAACCCGGAATTGGGTTTTGGGATTGAATCTTCTTCTTTAGGTGGTTTTGGAATTGAATTCACTTTGGAAGATCCCCCCCGGGGAATTGAATTCCCTTTTGCTGATTCCACTCCTTTTTCTACCTTCTTTTTCTTTTTCTCCCCCGAAACTTTATTGAATTTTGGTGTAATGTCAAAAACATTCACACTTGGAAACCCCCAACAATCTCTCTCATCAACTTGTTTCAATGCCCTTACATTTTTTCTCACTCCAAAATTCAAGTCCAATTTCGGGCCGAATCCGAATCCCATTGGATAACCATAGCAAGTATTAATTTGGCCACCATAAGAAGCAGCATTGGACTCATTGACCAAGTCATTGTCCACACTAAGATTCCCCATAATACTGTCCATACCCTCTTCAATTTCCTCATCAAGTATTGATTCTGCATCGAAATCTTCTTGGTAATCATCACACAAATCCAAGGAATTCCCCTGGAATTCAATTTCCCCCGGACTTTGACATGGCTTTTCACAAGAATTCACCACTTTTGGCTCAATCCGGAAATTGGGTTTTTCTAGAATTGATTGATGAAGTGAAAAACCAGAGTTGTCAACAACTTGAAAAGGTAGAAGCAATTCAGATGACTCGTAGGAAAAAGTGTATTGTGGTTTGGTGAATTTCCCAGGCTTTGTGAGGTGTTTGGTGGAAAAGATCTTAGGATAGGCAGTGGAGAGAAGAGCTGCTGCCTCATTGTAGTTCTGGTTTGGCCTTTTTCGGGGGGTTCGGGGTTTCCGACTTGAGATTGCTAGAGGGGAATTGCTTGTTTCAGACAGAGTTGAAGATGGAGAAGATGAATGTGAATTCCAAGAAGTTGTTGGGGATTTAACAATCTCAATTTCCAATCCATATGCCCTTCCTCCTCCGCTTAAACACGAAGACATTTCTAAATGTATACAAAGCAAAACCACACTAGAGATTCAGCTAACAAACAAGCCTATATAATCTTCACAGGATTGAGAAATTGAAGTCAAGAAAGAAGCTAACAATATCTGGAAGGGAGGAATTCAAGGAAATAGAAGGCAAAGAAAACAGATTGAATTCAAGTTTTAGAACATGAAAATAGTGGCAGATAAGTAGAATCCAAGATCTAACAGGCCATTACTCTGGGGAAACATGAAATTCAAGAAAATACCCATTTCACATACAATCTGAAAGTGGCATAATTAGGTGAATTTGGCAGAAAATTCCCAAACACAATTTCAATTGTATGAGATTGAGCAAGAGACTCGCAACAAAACTAGAGATCCAGCACAGCTCAACAGAGGTTGCAGAACTGGAGTTGAACAGGTAAAAGTACCTCCAAAGAAAAAGTACAAAACCCCCTTTAAACCCTGAAGATTGCTTCTTTTATTTAAACAAAAAGCTGGTTCATAAAAAAATAAAAGCAAAAAAGAGAAAAGGCCAAAGATTGTAACAGTTGATTTAGAGTAAGAAGACACTAGAACCCTTTAAAAACCCCTAAAAACAATATCTTTTAAATACCAAAACCTTAAAAAACTACCGTGAATTTTCTGAAATATTCAAAGTACCACCTATGGAGTATGAAACTAGAAAAATCTGATTTCCATCAAAAACCCTTCAAAACCCCAGTACCAAATTTGAGCAAATATAAGGCCGGCAAGGAGTATATAGACATATACAAAGAAACATACTATCTTTGAGCCCCTTCAGAAAATAAATATAAATTCCAATGAAATGAATGCACAAAACCCAAATTTCAAGCCTATCGATGTGATTTGCTCAAAAGGAATAAGATATCTCAGAATGGAAAGCTAGGCAATAATAAGGGAATCAATAACACCAAGGAATTGACTTGTATTTAGCAGAGAGAGAGAGAGAGAGAGGAGATAGGGTCTGAGTACAGAGGGTCACGGGACGAGCAGATAAAAGGTTAAGATCCGTTGAGGTTGGGCTGTAGAAATAGCAGACACCCATTTCTCTCTCTCTCTCTCTCTCTATAGTGGGACTAAGAGATTAAGTGGTTTGAGTGATGGAGATGAGAACAGAGGAACGGACAAGACAAACCTCAGCATTTTTAACGATGGGACCACTGAGCGCTCTCTCTCTCTCTCTCTCTCTCTCTCTCTCTCTCTCTCTCTTCCCTTGCCTGTGCTTTCGCACATTTAGCGGTTGCAATTATTTTATGTAGTTCGTTTACCATAATACCCTTAGAGTTCAAGTTCTCGTTTGGATTTTGGAAGCCAATTAAGACTTCAGCAAAAAAAATTAAGGCTTAATAAAGAGGTAAAGATTTGCTAATTACACAAACAGCACCAATTTCACAATAATGACAATTTCAAATACATATACTTTTTCCAATAATAAGTAAGAAGTAAACCTTAAGGTGGTGTTTCAAAACTTGATATTAGCTAAAACTATAAAACTAACTTAACAAAATGTGTTTAACTTTAACTTGCGCTTTCTACTTCTCGGAAAAAAATTTAGTTGAATGAATTGGCTAAATAGCAACTCGTGAGGTAAACGAGTCAAATTTTAACACAATTTAAGTTGACAATTTTGCTCAAATTCCACTGATAAGTTAATGAGCAAATCATATGCCATAATAGAAAAAATTAAATTGTTATAGATAAATTATTTTTAGCTAACAAGCTCTATCTTTTTTAAGTTGCGCATCAATAACTACAAAGAAATGCTGTTATATTTCTTTGATTCAAAACTTACTGCTAAATCAAATAAAAAGATTAATTTTTAGAAAATTTCCTAACCCAGCACTAAAAAAACATGTACCCTATACAAGGTAGATAAAAAAAACTTACCCTACATCAAATAGAAGATTAATAAGTATGCACTGCACTACCAAGGCATAAACCTAACGCATAGGGTTACTAAGGTCATTTTACAGAAATGAGCTGCCCATTAGTGATAAGTCCCATAATACATAGGCAGTTTGGTAACTAGAACTATCCAATCCTATTCATGGGCAACCTGCAAAGGTCTCATTGAAGAATGAAGATTTTATGTGAAAGGGCTTTTTCTTATCTGCTGACATGGCATAAAGTTATTGGGTGTCCCAGATTTTAGGGCTGACGTGGACTGTACTTTATTGGTTGGCGGATTTTCACATGTATCTACAGAGAAGAGATTAGAGAGAGAGATGAGAGAGGTGGGTTTTTTGACCTAAGATGAGTGCAATGATTTGAAGCTTTTGGTATTTTGCGGTGTTTGGTGTGTGGCATATGGCAATCCTACGTTTGGCTGTTTTGGTTCAATGGTTACTCATTAGAAAAGCCAAATTAAATATTTGATTTTTTCATCCCACCCACTCCTTGTCATTTCATATCATATTTAGACTATATTATCTTAATTTTTTTTTATTATAATTTGAATAATATTATATTAATTTATGTCATGTTTGAACCGACACATATAATTCTTCAACATGAGTATTGATTTAAGATTAGTTTTCTCCCAGTGAGATCCATTAATAAATATAGATCTTTTCCACACATAAAAATAAAAAACTATAATTCAAGAAATAAAATGACACACTTTTTCATATAATATTTATCATATATAAATTTGTCGCGTTAAAATCAAGCTAGTCAATTTATGACTTGTGTTAACGAATTTTGTTACTTTTTATTACGTTGGAAATTTGAGTCACAAGTCATCTGGATCCGGATAATTACTATGTCATCGTCGTATGTTTGTTTTCTACTTTTGGTTCCATTTTTAGCCAGCCAGCCTGCCATCGTCCAGTCCAATCTGGATAAATTCAAAGTTAAAGTAATTATGAGATGGTATCCTAAGAATCAAAGTTTTTTGTTATATAATTTTCTAATCGTTACTTTGCTTAAACTGCTATGGAATGATGAAATTTAATCCTCTCTAAACTCCATAATGAATGATAGGAGGAGTTTTATCCACTATGTTGTTAACCCATGATAAGTAAAGCATTCACCCAATTATTCTAATGTATTCTGACCAAAATACACAAAAAAAATAATAAATAAATCGTTTTGTTATATCAATTGTTTGGTATCTCAAAGCTATAAGTTTAAGCACCCGTTATTCAATGCGAGTGAATCGGAAATGTTCATATATATTCGAGATTTTCATTACAAACATGATCCAAATAGTGCCCTAGTTGGAACAATTTGCTCATCAAAATCTACAGATAATTCAAGTAGACATGTTATGTGCCCAAAAAAAAGAAGAAGAAGAAGAAGAAATTTTCAAGTAGACTTGTGAATTTGGACCACTTAATTAATTAATAAATTTCAAGCCACAAGAAGTAGGGCACTTGCTCGGTTTGAGTCCCATTGAATTCAGATTTTCTTCTTGTTTAAATTTTCCTTCATGGGTATTTCTGGAAAAATACCCATCACTCTATAACTATAAGAGGCAATACAGTCCTTTGAATTTTGATAAGCGAATAAACATATAGTGCAAATGAATTTCACCCACGTATAGTACGAATTTATTACTAAAATATTGTCATTTTCGAATAAAAATATCAATCTATCACACTTTTTAACTTATTTATCGAGCTATTTTAATTATTGACGATTCCGCTTTCAACAAATGATACAACAAAAAGGAAAAAAAATATTTTTGTAAGTATTAAAAACATTCTTATTGATTCTGCTTTCTTGGTGAAATCGAAATCAACAATTCTCTTTTCAAAAACTGCAATAAATTGATAAATAATTTTAAAAGTACGGTAAATTGATACTTTTTTAAAAAAATGATAATATATTCCATATATTACCCATATTTTTGTTGTCACAAATCTAGGATTAAATTAATATCATAAGGATAAGTTTACGGTACCCACAAAAACAAATATAGGTATTGTGCCGAAATAGTGAAATTGGGCTCAACTCTCGAGCCATAGATTTTGATTTGATTGTATTTATTAAATATAAAAATGTTAATATAATTTAAAACAAAAAATAAAATATTATACATGTCACGATACATCTCCACCGTGCCCGCCCTCTCTAAGGTTTTTTACTCCAGGGTTCTAATGGTTCCTTTCCTAAGATATTTTTTTTTCTAAATATCTTATTATGTATTATGACCTTGTACTTTTCCAACAAATATCTTTATTGCTTTTTACAAATTAGATGAATATTGAGCATGTACGTGTTTTTTTACAAGTTAGAAATCCAGACCTTTTAATAACTCGTGTGGGTTTGTATTATATCTAAATCATATTGTATTTTGTTTAACCAATGTCTAATCAATTTATAATCGTATCTAGCCATGGAATTTGTATCGTGTCAAATTCGTGTTGTGTTGAGGGGCGGAGTTAAAAAAATATTTTAGAATAAGCACACTTACATGTTTTAATTTTTTTTTAATACACCGTAAAAGTTCATAAATTTGTATTTATTAAAATTATATTTAATACTTTCTAAACAAATAAGATTAAAAATCGAAAAAAATAATAATTAAAACTTCTCATCGAGAATGCGACTAATTATTACTACTTATAATGACCTTGGTATGTTTTTATTATTTGAAAGAGTTATAAATTAATTTTATTAACAATATGCAACCATTGAACTAAGCTGCGTTTTTAAGATGCTTTGTATCATTGACCAATGTTTTTTTCTTTCAATGAATTAATTGGAATTTAAACGTGGAAAATAACTATATCACCAATCAATAATATTAAAACAAATAAGTAAATTGACCCTATAAAAATTAATAACTAACCCTTCATGTAAATAAATAACTACTTATTCATCTTTTATGTAAACAAATTAAAGGTAATTCGTGTCTGAAGAAACAGTACAATATAAATAATTTTGAAAGAGATATTAGTAATTGTTTGATAAGTCTTTTTAAAATATGTCTTATTTTATATTATAAATAACTCTTTAAATAGGGTTCACTTTATTTATTTAATATTTTATTATTATTTTATAATATCATATTAGCATTATTGTCATGGTATCACCGTCAGTATATTGCATTGAATATTTTCTCTAGAGCTTTTCATAAGAGGCGTTTGGCGTTGGGTTGGAATCCCACACTTTGGGCCGTTAGGCCGTGTAGTCATGGTCATGGTAATTATGTCGGGTGTCGGGGAACTGAGCTATCTCACATCGGATAACTTTGAATGTGTGTATTTATAAGTCTCCATCTGGTCCTTACTCGGTTAAAGTAAGTGGTTATGCGTGAATCAAAAAAAAATATTTTTTCAAGAGAAAGGAAGCTGATCCTAGAAACCATGACGTGGAATTTTTCTGGCCCTTGACATTGGATAGACTTGACACAAGGGATAAAAGTCTGACAGATCATGATACATGTGATTCCACTGCCCACTAGGCTAACAGTTCTGTTCTATTAAAACTTTAAAGGGACATTATGAGAATAGAGAAAATATACAAACTGTTTAAAATTTATTTATTTTGTATCTAATTTATTTGTTATTGTGTGTAATTAGGTTCTTATTTTGTTAAGTTTATAATGTAAATACATGAATCTTGATTCATCATTGTTGTTAGAACCTAAGTTATTATATCTTTATTTATTATTTTATTTAAAATTAATTTTAATTCTTCTTTATCTCTACGTTTATCGTCAATGACTATCATATCACTCTTTCTCATCGGTGTCGTAGTATGCCGTTATAGATATGTTCAAACCACCTAAGTCAATTTTCTCTTAATTTCTTTCTTATATGTTTTACCTTTATTTTTTCACAGATATATTCGTTCATCTATATAATAAAGTAGAACGAATTTGAATTTTGGAGACAAATAGTGATTTAGATCGTTCCGTGATAAAAAAAAATATCTAACGGATGACGTTATCCCAAATTGTCTCGAACTATTGCATCTCAGATCATTTTGATCTAACGTGCCACATTAAC